TGCAAAGCAAGCCAATCCAAGTTGCACCTTGCCTTCCAAGAATAATCCTTGCCTTCCAAGTTCCCACTTGCCTTCCAAGAATAAATCCTTGCCTTCCAAATGTTCCCTTGCCGTCCAAGAATAAATCCTTACCTTCCAAGAGCCCCATGTTTCGAACTCACGACCTCTGCTCTGCCAGGTTTGACAGCGTCCGTCCTTTGCCAGTGGAGAAGTGCCCTGGGGGGCGGTTGTGGTTAACCTTTGTTTGCATGCAAAGATATTTGTGCGTGAAAGGAGCCGTTTGACATGTTTAGGACCTATTTGATGTTGATTTTGAAAATCAAGGCTTGTTTGAGTCACATTATTTTTCAAAAAAATACATTTTTTAATAGTGATTTGACATCATTTCAACCACATATTTTTCATTTTTGTATTACTCCTCAATCAGCGCTTAATCCAATTCAAATTATTAGCGAATAGAATAGCAGCATTCACCCCAAGTCACATGGCATGGCAGTAGGACCCAGTCCATAAGAGACTGTCTTGAAGATGCGCGAGTTGAACAATCGCACAAGGCACCAGATTGTAGGGGTACCAATTTTTTTTTCTTATAATTGCTTCTCTCTCTCTCTCTCTCTCTCTCTCTCTCTCTCTATATATATATATATATATATATATATATATTAAAATATTTTTATAATTTTAAATTTTTATTATGAAGTTAATATTTTTTAGTTTAACATATTATTTAAAAAAAAGAAAAATTACCAACCCAATTTCAAATACTCAATAAACTTCATTCATCAATTACCAACCCAATATGATAATAAGCAGCCCAAAATTCAAATAATTAAAGTGGAGAGAATAGCTAAATCCCATATCCCATATATATATTCACGAGTCCCGAGATGTAAAAATATATGTAAAAATTTAAATATCATATTTTTTGTAATGAGCTAATATTATTGAAATATATTTTTTAATTACTTATAAGAGGACACCATTTTAAAATGTCAAACCGGACAAAAATAAATAAATTCTCTGAGTCGAATCAAATTTACATCATTGCCTTCTATGCTTTAGATCAGACTCATCGAGTGTTGGAAAAATGAAAAATCAAGAAGGTGGAGCCCTCCTGTTTTCTTTTGGGCCTAGGCAGTTGAGAGTCGCAATTTTATGTCAAATCATTTTATTTATAGGAAAATGTTGGGAAAACAGGGGGCTGACATCGCCCCTGATCAAAACCCCACAAATAGGGGGTAACATAGGCCTCCTGTTTCCCCAGCATTTTCCTTATTTATATACTACGGTATTAAAAACTTATTTAGGCAAAACCCTAGGGGTGTGCTCTATTTTGATTAGTCCTCACATTTTTATCTTCGTTACATGATATATCCCCTCTACATGATATTCTTCATATAGATAGATATAAGAACTGTGAGACAATTATTTAGAAGTACATTTTGTGTTACAATTCTTTCTACATGATAGAGAATGATCCCATCTCGAATTGACCTAACTTGGGGTCGAAGAGCTCAACTTAGCCAATGCTCTTAATTCCATTAATGTGGATGTCAAAATTACTACTTGATGATAAATGAATCGTAGTTAGGACAAGTTGGTCACACATAAGTGGAGCGAATTTCTTATGCAAGTCAACTCGCATAAGTTATTGAAAAAACAATTTAGTAAAATAAATAAATTAGAAGGACGAGCTCCTTGGTCGAGCAAGACCATACTTCGATTAAGGGAGTCGACTCACGTGATGGGCTAAATTCAGTAGCTCAACTCGATTAGCCACACGAGATAAATTACAATGTCGATTGAAACATGATTTTACTAAACTGAAACTCTAATACTACTTATTACATGTCGAAATCCCAGTATCCAAACATTTGACTTGTCATCGTTGCCCCCCCATTTCATTTAATACTATTTATGCCCAGTAATTACTATGATCATTTTATGTGACAGCTTATTATTTGAAGTATATTTTTTAAAATTTGCATTGAATTAATTGAGAATAAGAACTTAAGAAAAGTTGAGCCTAATGCCATCTCCAACTCTGTACCGAATTTTGCACCATTTTGCACTAAATCTTGCACCAAACTAAAATTCATCTCCAACCATTATACCATATGAACAGTGTATAACCATTTTCTTCCATTTTTATTCTTTATAATTTATTTATTTGAAATATTAATTATTTAATTATTTCATAAATACATAAATTACTAAATAAATAATTACGTTAAATTACGGAAAAGATTAAATTCATTAATAAATATAAAAAACATGGAACTATTAATAAAAATGCTACAACAACGAAAATATGAAATCATGCCATCAGAAAATAGCACAATGCATTTCGAATTTGGATAGAAGATATTACGAAGTCGCTAAATTTTTGCAATTTAATTTTCAGAATTCATATGTTCATTCCACAAATGATCAATTAATCATTTCGAAGTGCAATGTGAGTTTCTTTATCCTTGATTTGTCTATGACGAGCAAAGAATTCCTGAATATGTTGATTTGAACTATGCACTTTTTTATGTATCCTTTTTATAAAAATAAAATTAGATTATCGTATATATGTCACTATTTAATATATTTCGTGTTAAATTTAATAAATAATCGTGTTTGATATATTTTAAATTGTTTTGGTTTTTTCATTAATTTATTAATTATTATGTCTTACATTTAAAATTTATTTTAAATGAAAATAATAATAATATTAAAAAAAAAAAATTTATTGTATTAAAAAATATATAGCACAAATGACATAAATATCTTTAACAAATTTATTTGAAAAATGTTAAATAAGGGAAAAAGAGACATTTTACACTTTGCACCAAAATGGTGCAAAGTTTGGTGTTGCATTGGAGCAACTTTGCACCAAAAAATGGTGCAATGGTTGGAGACATGGGCAAAGCCAGAAAAAAATTTCAGTACGGGTACAAATTTTTTATTAAGACAAACATTTCTTCCAATTTTTCTCCCAAAGTACAAGTTTTCAATTTTAAGGCCAATGTGCAGGGTTTCTCCCAAAGTTGAGTGCAGGCATTGGCCTGGACTCAACTCTACATGGCTCTGCCCATGGTTGGAGATGCCCTGAGTCCTTGTTTGAAAATCATTTTCCCTCATATTTAATCTTCAACCAAAGAACATCAATTTTCATATTTTTTTAATAAAATTTTTTAACTCTCTAACCACGTGTTCTTTAAAAAATTATTTTTACATGAGCCCTAATTTGGTAAAAATAATGTTGCTAAGTACTAGAGTAATGCTATTTGCAATTACATTCTATTGCAGTCGCCTTTCATGGTACACATGTGACTGTTGTTGATTTAATATATGAGACAAGAAAAAATTATCACATTAATATATCAAATTACAAATAGTTATGTAGAATATTATTTAGAATGACTACCACAATAAATGACTATGAATAATATTGGTCGAAATTTTATTCCAAAAATCCCGTGCACGTTCCCTGTCTCGAAAAAAGCCGGAAAACGCGTTTTGTATGGCTCCATTCATTTTCCAACTCTGTTTTACCCTCCTTTTGGTTTCTCCTTTTTCCCTGGCTCCATCATAAATTTTGAATTCTCAATTGCATTCTTCCAGTCAAGCCCATCCATTCTCCTCTTCCACTATCACCATTTCCCTCAGATACCCATTTTCCGATTTTGCTTTATTGTTTCTTATTGCTGTAGAAATGACAACGTCCGCAGTGAAAAACAACTTTTTGCCACCCGGATTGGTGTCCAATCTGCAACAAGTTCTCTTAAGCCGGAATCCCACCGGTGGCGGCGGAGGCGGTGATGACGACGAGTTATCCAAGATCAATACCCGAGAGGATGATTCGGCCAAGCCCACTTCTTTTAGCGACGGTGGTGATGCTTCTTCCGAGACTAATAGTGATGATGGTTCCAAGCCTATTGTTTTGCTCACAAATAGTGAGGGTATTGAGTCCCCGGGGCTTTCATATTTGGTCGATGCTCTTGTTAAGCTAGGTCTCTACAATGTCTACGTCTGCGCCCCTCGATCGTAGGTCTTCTAGTCGTTCTATTCTCAGTTGTTACATTTTGTGGATAACTGTCTTGATAATCGTGTGGAATATATATTTTCTGCTTTCGTCATCTTTTCTCATTTGCCACTTGGGTTTTGTTTATTTTCAATCCAAGTATTGGAATTTGAACATATAGGATAAACATTATGGTTTTTGGACGATTTGATTTCCGTGACGTGTATAGAATCTATGTATCTTTTTCTTTTTGTTTTTGTTTTTTTTTAACGTTAATTGTTGATTTAGTAGAGGTGGATTGACAGGGATAAATCAACATCGGGCCACTCGGTGACCCTCAAAGAGACGGTTGAGGTAGTTTCAGCTGAAATTAACGGTGCCACGGCCTATGAAGTTTCTGGTATCATTACCACTTTAACCATTGGATTTCATATAGGTTAACTGTGTTTTGGAGGATAATTTACATGTTGGTTATTCAAGCTCTTATTAAATAATGTTGTGCTTTATGCATCTTTAAGGAACTCCTGTGGATTGTGTGTTATTGGTTTTGTCGGGTGCACTGTTTTCATGGTCAAAGCCTCTATTGGTATGCCTTTAGTGCTTTTATCATGTATATTTGTGGTGTATTCATTTCGCTTAGCTCCTCAAACAAGCAATCCCCATTTTGTTTATGTTCTGCCTGATATTTAGGTAATAAGTGGTATCAACAAAGGCTCAAGTTGTGGTCACAACATGTAAGTCATTGTAAATATCAACCATCTTTTCTTAGTTAACTACAAATCCAGTCTTTATGTTTTCAATTGATTTGTAGAATTTTGGACTTACATGGATGACTTGACAATACCCAGGTTTCATTCGGGCGTAGTGGCTGGAGCCAGGGAGGCGTTGATTAATGGCGTGCCATCTATATCAATATCACTAAACTGGTGTGCTGTTGGTCCCTGTTGTACTTTAAGAACGTTAACCGGTCAAGTTTATATATATAATAAGTTAGGTATTTGATGTATTGCAGGAAGAGTGACGGAAGTCAGGAAAGTGACTTCAAGGATGCTGTCACTGTGTGCTTACCGCTAATAAATGCAGCCATAAGGGACATAGAGAATGGGGTTTTCCCCAAAAATTGCTCATTGAATGTAGAAGTTCCAACATCCCCCTTGGCAAACAAGGTTTGCTTCTAACATCTTATTCAGGATATTGGTCCTTCTTTGCCTGAAATCATCTCATGATATAGCATTTAGTTCCTTGGTAAAAAAAAAAAAAAAGAGGAGAGAAAGTGACATATGTAATTAGTGTTGCATAGCGTTTGTGAATTTTGATCACATATCAATTCGTACTTTTACATAATATTCTATTTTTGAATTTAATATACTTTTGCAGTCTCATTCAATCACTAAGTTGTATACTTGTATTTCTCTGGACAATTCTTATCACGCCAGGAAGAAGTTATTATGCTGCTGAGTCACCAGGTTTATTAGCAGTAGAGTCACATATGCAACTCTTGTATTTATGTTGTATGACAACAATGAGAAATGAGTCAGGCACTCCCAAGGAAAACTAGAAGCTAACAGAGAACTTGCTGAACTTGTTTTGTCCTTTTCGTTTCTTTTTTTAGAACATTTTAACAGAGAAGTAGCTTAGCTACTGTCTGAGGAAAAAAAAATATTTGCCTGTTGGAGTTGTATGCAAGCTTTATACATTTGGTTTTGTATAGTGTGGGCTTTGCTGGCATTTTTTATCCATTTTATCTTGCAACATTTTCATTTTTTCATTTGTCAGGGATTCAAGGTTGCCAAGCCAAGTCTTTGGCGGTCTACTCTCAGCTGGCAAGCCGTTTCAGCCACCAGGAATCAGGCTGCTTCAAGATTTATGGGTAATCAGCAAAACCTTGGGTTGCAGTTTGCGCAGCTTAGTCGTGATGCCTCTGCTGCTGTGAGTGGTCTTTATATGTTTCTTCAGTGGTCTGTTTCTGTATCAATGTGTCGGCACTTTATTTTGTTACAGGATTCTGACCAACACCATTTAAATTCTTTCAGGGTGCTGCTCGTCGTTTGATGACACAAAGGAAGAATATTGAGATTGTTGAATCAGTTGGTGTTGCTGGGAAAGTTGATTCTAAACGGACGGTGAAGCATTTCCGTTTAGAGGTATATTTAAAATTTTAAACTAGGGAGCAACATTAAGCTTCTTGATATCTAGCTCTTCGTTAACTTTTCAGGAGCTTAGCTGTAGTTTTTGGTGGCTTATTTCCGCTTAGAGGTATATTTAAAATTTTCCGCTGGGGAGCAACATGAAGCTTCTTGATATCTAGCTCTTCGTTAACTTTTCAGGAGCTTAGCTGTAGTTTTTGGTGGCTGTTATTGTTGCATCAGTGAGAGAGGGTGTAGAATGTTTAGGATACATGAGAGATGGCGTAGAATGTTTAGGATACAAGAGAAATTTTTTATTATCGACAACTCAAATGGTGTACCACACTGAAGTCCTCAACTCTAATAATTTTTCCCTGTTCATGACAGGATATACCTAGATTCTACTTTTGTATTGTTGTTCTCCATTTGTTTTCAATTGATTCTTTTGGGGGATAACTTGGGTAGTGATTGATGATCGCAGATGTTTAACAAGGAGCAAGAAGTAGAAGATGAGGATCTTGATTTTCGAGTGCTCGAAAATGGCTTTGTAAGCATTAAATCATTTTTTGTTGTTTCGTGTAATGCTCGAGCACAAATATGTACATAAATCATATACGTGTGCATGAATGCATGTCTGGTTTAACACTACATTTTACATTTCGATTTGATGGTCTGATAGTATTGCTTAGAATTGCTTTCAACAGTTTAACTATCCTCACATTTTGGAACAGGTTGCAGTTACTCCACTCTCTCATTCAACGCGTGTAGAGTCGGAAATTAGTATGGCTGTTTCAGACTGGATTCCTTCTGCACTGCCAGTGGAGAAATAACAACTTCCGGTTGACAAGAATCAGTAATTTTGAACACTTGAAGACAGTGTTTCAGCATTTGTGCTACTTTCGTTTGGTTTAGAACTTGAATACCTACCTTATTTATTTCTTACCTTCCTCGAGCTACATAGTTTTTCGGTCTTAAATGTATTCTTGACCAAACGCTTCTTCCTTTTAATTTATATGGTTGGCCTGTTGCAATACCGATCCTTTTCTAGTTACTTTACACTGACAGGATTGTCGTAGGTCGGTTTTTACCATTTTCCTCCAATATCGGGTGATATTGGTTTGTTTGTTGTATTTGACAGTGTAATGGGATGTGGCCAAGTTCGACTGTAAATTACTGCATTTGCTTGTAGCTCTTGGTTTAGTCGGTCCTTTGATCTGGACTATGATTAGTGGAAAGACCTTAATTTGTTAAAACTTTTCATTTGTTACTGTACTTGTACTATGAGATTTCACAATATGCTCCAAAATGCCACTGCTCTTACTAACAGAATTTGCCCAATTGGCGCCTTTCAAAATCCTACTTCGCACTGATGTTTCTCTGATATATATGTATACATAGGGCTGAATGTACATGCAATTAATTCATTCAATTAAACTTCGGTTTTTTCTTTCTGTATTTTTTGTTATTGTCTTGTTCTACAGTTTTTTGGGCATTTCTATGTGGGCAATTTGGGTTTTTTGTGTGATATTTTTCGTTACCAATTAATGATTTCGTAACGTATGATCGTATATTTTGATGCTAACAATTGTGGTTGCTCTAATAGTTGTACACTACTCATTTGTTAAACACACTGACACACATGTTAAATATGCATGAAGCTGTACTGTTCTAATGTTTTCGAACAATTGAATTTCTGTCGTGGTGCCCTTGAGCTTGTAATTAATACTTGCTAATGAAGATATTTAAAAATTGAAACTGAAGTCATTGAGAGCATAACTACAAATTGAACGTACAAACGAAAACTATAGCCTTGCATCTTTATGTTCGTTTGAATAACTGGATAAGTCTGCTGAAAATCCTAGATTAGCAGAGTTTAAGGTGTTGTCCTAGGAAGCTGCTATGGCATCAAATTCGAGTGATACCATCCGTTGATCAGAGAATCTTCTGTACCGAGTCTAGGGAACCCATCTTGGAGGAAGCGAGGGGTTCACGAACATTGTCCCGCTGCACGGTAATTGAGACAACGAAAATGACGATGATGAGGAAGTCTGGGACATGGACGATGAAGATAATGTGGAGCAAGCTGGCATGATGGGTTTAATATACTCTATGTCATAGGAGGACGCCTGCATGTCATTTGCATAAAGCCTCTCGGAAGGGAAATTTGAGGAGCCGGCAATTGATTCAAGTACTTTTGGCAGCACAGGAAGCATTGTGCTGGGATTCTGATCTAAGAGCTTGTTAGTAGCAAAAAATGGATATTGGTCAGAGCTCACAATGGAATAATCTTCGGGTCGAAGAATTTGCTGTTGACGATCAATGAATTGAGGCAGATATCCCAGTGGACAAGCTGGTGCAGATGAAGGCGACCTAGTGAGCATAATGGCACTGTGACTCAACTGATCGGCTTTAAATTCACCAAAATCTATCCCTTGCACTGGTGATGGTGGTTGGGTGGGGATGCAAACTTGATTAAATTCGGAATATTGGGGGAAATTTGAGTTTGAACTTGAAAGATTTGAAAAAGGGGCCTGATCAAAGAGGTTTTGAGAAATGTGTTTCTTCTTAATGGCTGAGTTCCAGAAGTTCTTGACTTCATTATCTGTTCTCCCAGGAAGGTGCTTGGCTATTTGAGCCCACCTGCACACAATAAACATTATTTTGGTTGAAAATGTACTGTAAAGTTTGCTGAACTATCATTTAATCATGGGACGAGACGAGATTACCTATTGCCGAGAATTCTTTGGAGTTCAATTATGAGTTCTGTTTCTTCTGAAGAGAAATTCCCTTTCTTCAAATCAGGTCTGAGGTAATTTATCCATCTTAGTCTGCAACTCTTGCCACATCTTTGTAACCCTGCACCCACAAGATTAACACATATGCAATGTCTGTATACTTATTCATGTTCATTGGGACGTGAATGTAGTCACGATTTAAACTCAAAACGCACTTTTGACAGAACCAGTAGTGAATGGGAAATGGATTTATTTTTGTGTTTCAGCTTCCTCTTGGGGAGAAAAACACACACGCAGGCGCACACACATATACGAATACCTGCAAATCTTGGAAGCGAGCTCCAACTGCCATGGCCATAGGTGGAAATGTAGTTTTTGAGTTTCTCGTCTTCCTCTGGTGACCACAGCCCCCTCTTCACTTTTTGTTTGTTGCAGCATGAATGTTGTCCCATTTTCTATCTCTTTTCTAAAATGCAGGTGAACAGCAATGGCAGGAGATCATATGTACATATGCAGACGGTAGGTGTGTTTTTGTGTGGGTAAGAAAGAAACAAGAATTGGATGAAAGAAGCCACGAAGGATAACAGATGATGCCAACTGAGAGTACACTGAAATTATGAATTTAAAGTGAAGATCTATATACCCGTGGGGCCATAGCTCTGTGGAGTTTGGGATGGCTTATAGCCTGGCTCCATTTTAATGTGTTTTTGGGGAAAATGTATTACATTGATTTTTTTTTTTTAAATGTATGGTTAAAAAAAAAGGAAATTTTTTGGATTTACTTGTAATGTTATTTTAATAGAGAATGTATGGTTAAAAAGAGGAGGAAAAAAATGCATTAAAATTAAAATGGAGCACAAACAAGGGCATAGTGTTTGGTATACAAATGTTTTGACAGTTTCTTTGACAAATGTTGAGGTGGTATGTAGATAGCATGGACTGCTCGATGAAGAGTTGCAAGAACGATGAACTTGGACAAGTTTGATATCCTCGTAAATAATCTGAGGAACTCAAATATTTTGAATCTCTCAAAATATGCATCTCGAACTTGCTTTTCAATTTACAAGGGAAATTGTCAATAAGTATAACGTTTTTTCTACCTCAATATTGTCAAAAGCGAATAATTTTGACATATCATCTCTTTCATACTAGGAAATTGAATTGTCCCAAAGACTCACTTTTTGTATGGTAATCTTTGATGAGTCAAGAATAATAAGAAAAATGTCTTAAAGTGCAAACATATCCAAGTTATCTACTAATCCTTCTTTGTAATTATACATAATTCTTTTCCCTTTTCGATCTTTCATGCGAAAAATATCAAACTATGCTTGGCTATTGGATCTTTCTCCACGCTTTCTTGAAATACAAGTTTCTATTCATCGTATTCATTGGATACTTTTCCGGGTTCATTGGTTTTTCTTAAAGTACACATTTCTGTTCATCAATGGTGTTTCATCCTCAATAACAAAAAGTTAATCAAATTGCTTGTTTTATTATTATTTCTAGAAGTAGTTTTCAGTGTCCTAATCCCTGCTAAAGTCTTGTGACCTCATTTTCTACAATTTTGTGGGCCTGCATGGATAATAATTAATGGGTTCTTATTTTTGGAAAATAGTCCTTGCAGAGAAAATTGTGATAATTGAATTTTATAACCCAAAGTTATGCATTTCATTCTCATTGATTGTAGTATATTTTTCATGTTCTATTATTATTTTATTTCTTGATCTGCACTATGGATTGTATACACGATTTAGTGGAAGCCTCTAATAGAGACTAGTACTCTTTGTTGGTCCTATTTAAACAACTTAACAAATTAATCACGAGAAAGCTCAAGTTTGAGTAAAAATATCTTTTAAAAAAGTCGAGGGTTAAATTGTAAAAGCGATCAAAGGTCAAAAACACGACCACTTATAAATTATTTTCAATTTCTCAATGCACCCTTCTCGAGTAGGCCAATTCATTTTTATCAGACATAGCGTATTTGTATAAATAGATAATGATAAGACTCGAAGTCAATTCCCTTGACGAATTGAGCCACTTCAATGGAATTATTTTAATTTATTGTTCAAGAATTATTCTTGCTTCAGGAAAAATGAAAACAGAACTTGCAATCAAAGCAAAAAGGAAATTTAGGTTGCACTCCCTGACTTTTGCATGGTATGACTATGATTATTGATCCCCAACTTTGAAAAGTGATTGTTTTGAGTCTTCGACTTATTCGAATATGTAAATTTTGGTCCCTCGATATCGAAACTGTTGACGTGGGCGTTAAAATTTGAACGCTACTTTCAGTTAAATTGAGATATATGTTAAGTGGATTGACATTTTTGCCCTCTAACTTTAGGTCATGTGAGAATTTCGTACAATTTTATCATCCACACTGATCTTTAAGTAGGTTGGGGACGTAGATCACTTCTGAAGATTGGAAAACATAATCACACTATGTGAAAGGTTGAGACATGTAATCCTAATTTATCCCAAGTGAAAACAACGGACACAAATGAGATTCTTGATTTTATTGTTGCACATGCAGCAATTAATGAAAGCAAGTTCCATTACTTTATTTGTTGAGCCTTCATGGGACATAAAAACTTGGTTCAATTTTGGTATATTCTGTTTAAGAAGCACTCAACTCATTACACAAATAGAGAAAAGTTGTGAGGAAATTCAGTAAGGTAACTATTGAATTTGGTATCCGTCTATTTCATTTAAATTCTTTTAATAGTTTCTAAACTTTAACTGTACCTGCAGCTTGGCCGTGTGGACTCACGCCTTCGTATAATAAATAATGTCACTTACGATTAGATTTGCAGTGATCCAACTTTAGTCCTTTAGAAACCTCATATTTCTTGAACGAACATTTTACATAACTTTTGTGTGTGTATTACACTGAAGCGAAGTTTATAAAGTAAAAATATATCAACTCCATAGCACTCTACTATTTCTATAGTTATAAATATGCAAACCACTCTCTGTAAGTATCCATAAGCACTATTACAATGCTCTCAAACAATGGTATCATGTCTAACAGAAAACTCCAATAGAAAAAAGAAAAAAAGAAAAATGAACTTGTAGGAAATCGAAAATACAACAAGCTGTTGAATTCATCAGAACGACTCCCCTTTTAGGAAGCTTCATCTTTACATGTCATCTTGCAACATCGGAGGGTAGAGATCCTTGCACAAGTCGACAGAATAGAGATCAGTGTCAGCATTCCTCCGAGCCCGCCCCCTTGAAACCGGACTTAGCTTTCTATGATAGTGTAAATCCTCGACTGAATGCCTCACTCCAGTATAAGTACGAGATAAATAATTGCATGGTTTCTGCTTGGCCTTTATCGACTGTGTTAGACTCATATAGTTAGGTTTGGCACCATGTCCCTCGGCTAGAGTATTTCCTGACCCTTGAGTCTCAGAAGTAGTTGTGGATGAATTTGATGTCGTGCTCTCATCGTAAGAAAATGCAGAACATGGTTCAGATGACGAGCGAGTGATTTGACAAGTTTTCGAAACTTTTGGGGATATTCTAGTAGATATGTTATTCCGTCGAACTGTTACTGAATTGTGATCATACGAATTTGAAAAGGATCCAACAGTCTGAAATTCTCCGTCTGACATAGTATCCCATGGCTTGTTTCGCATCCACCGTTCTGACCAGTCGAGTCCTGAACTATTCTTCTCCAACTTATTTGGAGTAACCATCTTGTTCATTCTTGAATATAAGATTGGGATTCTTCTGGATTGCTGGAGTAAGACATCACATTGTACATAAATGAGTTCGAAAACATATTTGAAAGATATCATCATGAATTCAATTAATTACCTGTTTAGAAAGGGCATGGGCATATGCATTCGCTCTTTCCCTCTTGATAGTGCCTTCTTGTTTCATTAGTAATTTCAACCTCACTTCTTCAGCTGTTGCAGAACTGTCACACCATCCATTCTGCCATTTACAGATAAAAACAATCTTATTTCACAATTTCCAATTTGATAGCTGGATCATGCAACATAAAGAGAAAGATACACCATTAGTTGATTCACGATCTTTCTACCAGCTTGTGGCCTAAAAAGTTGATCTTTCTCAATAAGTCCATTGATTAGGCTAAAATTCTATAGCTTAGGACTAATCGTACCTCGGCTTGCTTTATAGGATCAGCACTCTGATTCTTTTGGACGAGCCCTTTTGCAGACGTTTTAATGCATTGAGCCCTAACTCGAGTCTGAACTCGAACAAGCGACTGCATGCACCTTAATGTTACAGCGGCTTGCTTTCTAACCAATCTGCCACGGACTATAGCTTGTAGTCTTACCAATGCTTTCAAGGCCCTTAAAGCACGCTTTGCCTTCAAACATTATCATTAACGAAAACAAATCATCTAAAGAAGAGGAGAAAGCACAATTGAATAGCATAAATTTATAGGATCTTAGACAGTTCATAAAATAAAAGGTGCGCATAGGATCTTGTCTTTATTATGCTGCATCCCCCAAGAATAAAGCCACTTGTCCAGATTTGAAAACGGGAAGGGAAGAGACGGACTGATGTGTCAGAAAACCATGCGTCGACGCGTGTCCCATCTGGATGTGTAGCATGATTGATCCCCCAATGCCATTCCCGGCAGATGCCCCCACAAGTCCACAACCCGCTGACTGTTTTCGCCGCATTGCTTGTCTAGAAATGGATACGCTTTGTTCCCCCTTCTACATGTTGGTTTCTCTACCCAGTCCAAACCACAACCCCTGTTCCCATCAGTCTCCTACTCCATCAAGTTTCCCTCTCCTCGCCCCTGCCTGTTGCCCTTCTCTCTCCTCCACCGTCCACCCCTTGCTGGTTTCCTCGAATCCCCCCACCCCCCAAGGGATCTAATGGCTCGTTTGAGTATTATGGGCTCTAATACCATATTAAGACTCAAGATTTCATCTTGAAAGGTCCAAATTTGTTTAAAAAAGTAACCTGATTACTCATATATTGGTTTTTGGTTTCTTAATTAACCAATGTAGGAATATCACCTTAACTCTACAGTGGTTCCAGAACTAGTTGCTCAGACAAAAGTTCCCTAGACTGGAGATCGTGTTTGTTTGACAAAGTTTTTAAGTGCTTATAAGTTGGTCAAACACCTATTTCAACATTAAAATCTTGTTTGAGCTTTATTCTTGTTCCGGGTATTCTATCCACACATTTCAAACTCCCCATTAGCATTTTCAAATCGAAATCAAGCACATTCCCAAACTAAAATCACCAATTTCTTAATGAAATTAAAACTCAATTACAAGTTCTGAATGTGAAATAACTGGTATTGAAACGAAAAGGGAAAGTAGCTGATTACCAGAAAAGACCGAAAAATTGTCTGGATTCGAACGGCGGCCCATTCTCGCCGGACCACCATGAAATCCTTGGGTGAAGCTTTGGCCAAAGCAGCCACTGCTGCCGCCATCTCACCCTCAAACAAATAAGAAGAAGATTCAGATTCCTCCGTCTCCGGTGAATTCCCCCTTCCTTTAACACCCTTCGAGACACCCCTCCACAGTTTCCACTTCCAGCCCTTACCACCCACTTTATCCTACAATAAAAATCGAAAGATTATTGCATAAAACACCACATAAGATTATACAAATCCTGGAGATTTTTAGCTTACATTTTCTTTTGATGGGGAATTTTTGGGTCCGATCAGTGATTTGATCCACTTTCCAGGAGAACCCATTTCGCCGAAATTCGAAAAACAATAGAAAGGTTATGAAAAACGGCGATTCAGGTGAAGAAATGAAGAGAATGTCATTGCAGAAGAATTTGGAATTCTTGGATCCTGGGTTTAACTAAGGTTTTAATATATAGTCTCGAGTGCTGTAATCTTTTCTTTTTTTTGAATTTTGAAATTTTGAAAAATAGAAATAAAAAGTTGCAACGGATATGGCCGGTAATTCGTCCGAAAATAAAAAGCGAAAACACGACATAATTTGAGGATTCGGGTATAATAAAGTCCTTTTTTATTTTTTCAAATATTGAGATTTTTGAGTTTACGGCGCGCGTAGTACCCGCTTCTAAGGAATCATATTGGCGTCCCGCTCTATTGGCTACCGCCGGCTTGAAGCTGAAGCTGCCCGCAGCTTGAATTCAAAACGACTAAAAGGTTAGGTTACTTTAGAATAGTTAAAAATAGAGGAAATTACCTTGTTTGGAAGAATTTTTAAATCAATTAAAATTAATTTTTTTATCGTTATTTTACTATTTCAGTCATTATTTTTGAATTCATCTATCACAGATATAGGATACACTTCATCTCTAACGGTCAAAAAATCAATTATCAAAATTCTTACCAAACAAACACTTGAAATGTCCACTTTCACAAATCCTTGCAAAAATGTCCCTTTTGAAATATTTTAGACCAAAATACTCTTGTGAACAATTTATGATTCCACAAAAAAAAAAAAGAAATTGACATTTCTGCAAAAATTTTATTGGCCAATAAATTTTTGACACATAACCTGACGTATTTATTTCAAAAGTACACATATCAAATCACAATTAATGTTATTTTTCTCATTAACACAAAAATTTCGAGAATTACATGAATGAAAATGTCATTCTAGATATTTAAAATGTCGAGAGCAACGTTTGAAATATCAAGAATATTTAATATTGTAATTTGACATGTGTATTTTTAAAATATAAACGGAATTCAAATATCGAGAATGACATTTGAAATTTCGATAGCGTTATTTTAATATAGCTTTTCATGGACTCTACTTCTCGAAATCCGCAACAAATTGAAAAATAAATAAATTGCTTTTCTTTTTTATTAAGGACATAATAAACAGTTTAGTGTTAAATTTAAAAAGCAGACATTTTTCAATTAATACCCATGAAATTAGACATTTTTTAGAATACCACTAGTTAAATATTTGAATTTTCTTTTAATGCTCAAACTTTAAAAATAACTAAGGGTGTGTTTGATTGTAGGTGGAATTTCATGAAAAATGGAATTGAAATTCCACCTTCAATTTAACCTTGTTTTATACTCTTTTTTTTCCCTAGAAATGAAATTCCATCTTTGGTGCCACATAAGCCAATTTCCCTGAATTCAAGGTGGTGAGAATTGCAATTCCCAGTTACTGTAACATTTTTTTTATTTTTTTTATTTTTTGGTAATAGAAACAAATTCTAAGAATTATTGTAAAAAAAATATTTTCCTTTAATTGATAATTTTAATGTAAAACAATGTCAAACGAACACCAAAAGATAGATGATTTTGTTGATTTTTTTTATTTTTTTATTATTATTATTTTTTGATTTTGGCAATGGGAACAAATTTCATTCTCAATACTAGTAAATTTTATCCCTTTAATTGACAATTTTCATATAAAACAAAGTCAAACAAATATCAAAAAATAATTTTATTTCAATATTTTTCACGTGGAAAATTATATCAATCAAACACAGTAATTTACAATTCCCAAGAAAATAATTTCTTGACAATTCAATTCCCTAGAATTCGTTTTCTAAGCAATTCAATTCCATTTTTGCAATCAAACGGACCCTAAGGGCTTGTTTGATTGACCATGAATTCCATGGAAAGCGAATTCTACTTTCCATCTTTATCATGGTATTGGTATTCCAAGTTCCCCACGCGCTAGTATTCCTTCCTTTCATAGAATTCCAATTCTTATCGGTTTGGTAAGAATTGGAATTTCAGGCATTTTATTTATTTATTTATTTATTATAGTAATGGGAACAAATTCTATGCCTAATTATAAAAAAATATTTTCCTTTAATTGACAATTTTCATATAAAACAAAGTCAAATGAACACCAAAAGATAGATGATTTTCTTGACTTATTTTTTGCAATGGAAACAAATTATATCCCCAATACTAGTAAATTCAATCACTTTAATTGATAATTTTCATGTAAAATAAAGTCAAATGAACACCAAAAAATATTTTTATTTCAACATTTTGTACGTGAAAAATTATACCAATCAAACACAATAATTTACAATTCTCAGGAAAACAATTTCTAGGCAGTTCAATTCCCTGAAATTCGTTTTCTAGGCAATTCAATTCCATCTTTGCAATCAAACGGACTCTAATTAAAAGTTCAGATTCTGATGCAGAGCTTTTATTTGGCTCCCATTTTTTAAATTTCATTTTAAATCATATATTTTATAGAACCCATAATTTTTATCAACTTTTCATTCATATTTTATCAACTTTTATCATAACTTATTAATTATTTGATTTTTAACTAAATCAAATAATCAAATTGGGGCATAGATTCGACGACCCAAAAGCATCCTAGGTTTATCTAGTAATATTGACAAAGGCATTATGGTCCATTAAGACATATAGTTTACTTACAAAATACAGGTTGAGATAATAGTTTATTGGTTTTGAGTTTTATCAATAGCATTGATGGGCTTGGACAGAATTGTCAACCCTCTTTGATCCATTCTTCGTATTAGAATGTTTATTATGCGAATTGTGTGATAACTTGGTGTTTTCCTAATGCATTTCATGTTCATTTATCTGTACCTACACTATTTGTGGTATTAGTGTTGTAAAAATTATCGCCATCGAGGTTGGAAAAGAAATGATATAGAAAAGTGACAAAGAAGATGAAATAAACGTGAAGAACAACCGAATATGAAAGGCTCAAATACGACATTATATCATTGTCTTCAAACGATAATTACCCCCTCTCGATAACAATTTTGGTACTTAAAGGGTTTCGCGACAAATGATTTGTAGGATTAATCAAGCCTTGTAGATAATTAATACTTAAGCATTTGTATAAATTCTCCAAAACTTGAAGAACACAAAGGGAATATGAATATGGATGAATAAAACTTTGATTTCTTCTTTGTGGAATGAATATATTGATCACAATGTTTTCAAGTGTTTTTCTTGTTATTCTAATGATCACAAGCCACCAATTTATAGTTATGGAACATAGCTTCACGAAGTGGTGCCAAAAATAAGTGAAAAGCCGCCAACACACCAACCGAAAACCGCCGAAAAAATTGCCCAACGGCTAATTCGTTGTACCATGCGGCCGCATGGAGTTCTTCAAACTGGCCTCTCCAGTTTCGGGTTGTGGCCATGCAACCGCATGGCTATATTGCTATGCGGTCGCATGACATTCATCTTGGGCCTCCGGTTTTAGATTTATGTTCCAATTTTGTTCATTTCACTCCACACACGTATTTATTGATTTTAAACATATTTTCAACGATTAGAGCATGCAATGTTCCTGCTGGCACGACTAGAAGAGGATGGAAAAATGCTTGCTAGGTACAGGTTGATAAAGTTATGTTACGTGATGAGAACCAATATTTGACAGCCATGGTGTGCCTAACGCGGAGAAATGGATGGTGGTTATGGTAGTAATGAATAGAAGTGGAAACAGGAATTTAAAGTCAATATACCCAAATTTCGTGGTAGGTTTGAACAGAAGGAGTTCTTCGACTAGCTCAAAATGGTGGCAGAGGTATTAGACTACAAGGACATTTCTAAGAATCTTAGGGTTTTCCCGGTTGCTAAGTTATTCTTGGTTGCGAAGAGATTATGTAGGAAAGTAGCAGCTCCAAGCTATTCGTTTGGCAAGGAAAATGTGAGATAATGGGATAAGTTGAAAAAATCGCATGCGTATTGGTATTGCCTTCTTGCCTTTCATAATCAATTATGATTGGCATGTTGTATCGAAGATTCCAAAATCTTCGACAAGGTGAGTGGAAGCGGAAGGAGCATTTTTGTGGCTTTTGGTTTTAACATAAGTGGCTAGACAAAAGTCGCTTCACATGAGACAAGATTTCCAATCCTAAGTAACATTAGGGTTGGTTCGACTATGCAACGTTTCCCATGATCCCTCTCCTTAGACTTTTTTTCATTTAAGAATTCTCAAGGTGAACAAGGATAATATAAAAAAGCGCATTTGAATGAGACGCCCGTTAACTCATTTAAATCTCAAGTTATTCAGAAAAAATTTATACACGTTTCATGTAATCCACATGTTCACTAAAGTATAAATTGATTTTTTTTTAAATTAAAATATTAAGATTGAACCGAACTTTATAAAGAGCTTAATATGCATTTTTATAACTAGTAAACACGTGCATTGCACGTCTTGCATATCGAATGAATGATATGTGTAATGTTTTTAAAATAATAAAACTTTTTTTGAAAGTACTAGTAATATCTTAATTAATGATATAATTTTTTTATGAGATTTATAAATTTTCTGATTTTTCTATAGAGAGGGCAAGAGTTTTTGTATTTAATATATAAATTTGCAAATTTGAATAATATACCTTAGTATAACTCATTTCGATTTTCCTTAATCGTTTTGACATTCGTGATGTAATCCCTCAATTTAGTATGTCTAGACAATATTCTTATTACTATCTTTATGGGGAAAACCCTCGCAAAAACTATAAAACATAGGACAAATCATGTAGAAAAATGATGACTACACTTCACATCATTAATTTTTCAACCTTTAAGCCTTACTCTGTTGACTTGAGCTAAACGCCATCACTACAAAACAACATATTTAAGAATAATGATAAAAAAAAAAAACTAAAATACAAGAGAAATTACAAATCAAAATATATAAAGATTCGAATAAAAAAGGGAATTTTTACTTTGATGTAACAAAATATCTTTTTGAATATGATTATGCCAAATCAGATTTAGAAAGTAAAGTGTGTATATAAGCGAATATTAGAACACTGTAGGTTTCATGAATCATGATTGTGGAAATTAAAGATTAAGATAATTGAATTACTGCTATTAATCAAATCAGAAGATTTTTTTTTTTTTTATATAATTTCTGTAAATGGTTGTTTAAGAAAAAATTCCGTTTTACAATTT